AAAAATTTGGTTATCAATTGTGTGACAATCGGGTAACTCAGGTAAATATTTCCTGATTTGGGACGGTCTCTCCTGGACCCCAAATTTCATAATCCGCGACAATTACCAATTTGGGGTGCTGATTTTGCATTTCCAAAAATAGTTATTGTTTATATTTTTTTAGTGATAGACAGAATATAAACTATTTATGTTCGATCAGTAATTCGATCAACTGTAAATTTTCTCGGTATTTTCTCACCTCTTAGCCTCTTAGCATGCAACCTAACCTTGGACATCAAAGACGACCGATATTACAAAAACAAATGTTACAAGATGCGAATCTATCTCATACATTCTCAGGTACTTCTTACACCTTAGAAGAGTATGAGGAGATTAGAGAAAAATTAAGTAAACAACTAGGTCCCGAATATATTAGTACAAGACAAGGACCAGCTGGTGGTTAGTACATTTTAGGACGCATCCTTTTGAGCAAATTGAACATTAATATAGAAAGTTTGTTGTACATTATGTTGTGTTCAACCTTAATTAGAATGAAATGAGACATTATAACATTTTTTGACACATTTCTTTTGTAATTAATAAATAGCTGGGAGATTGGTATATATCGAGGGATGGAAATTGATCAATTTAGCAAATGATGTCTTTGGTTTTAATGGATGGACATCCAGCATTCGGGATATCACTATCGACTTTGTAAGTAATCCTATCATGTCAATAATTTGTAATAAGTTCCGACGACATCGACTGCATATTTCAATATGATAGGTTGAAACCTCACAAGAAACTGGAAAAGTCTCGGTTGGTATATCAGTGACGTGCAGAGTAACTCTCAAGGACGGTACATATCATGAGGTAAACATTGAATAAAGGCTGCGGTACAATGGTAAATAACGTGACAAACTAATGAACCAATCATCTAGGATTTGGGTTACGGCATCTGTGAAAACTCAAAGAGTAAGGGCGCCGCATTCGAGAAGGTATTTTTAGATAAAAAAAAAAAAAAAATGTATAGCTCATTAATATTGCGTTGTTAGACATGGTAATATTTGTTTTTGTCTATAAAGGCCAAGAAAGAAGCCATGACAGATGCGCTCAAGCGTGCCCTACGAACATTTGGCAACGCAATGGGTAATTGTGTGTACGACAAAAAATATGCCTCCGAAATTGTCAAGATAAAGGTTTCACCGGTAAGCATTCATCATTCCCAGTATACCAAAAACCATTATATGTAATAATATTCAATTATCATTAAATTATTATTCTATTATCAATAGCCACAATTTAATGTGGACAAGCTGCATCGTCATCCAGATTTTATCCAAAAAAACGCTAAAACTGGAGATATATCTAACAAAAATGTCAATAACAACAAAAATTTACAACCCCAGAATAGTACTTTAACCAAGCAGAATAATACTTTAACGAATCAATCTCAAAATCAAGGAACCACATCCATTTCGATTAATCAAAGTTCGAAGAGTACATCAGGAATCTTAAATAATGCATCTGCTATCATGATAAAGAGAGAGAGTACATTAAAACCCGTATCGAATTTGACACCTCCAAGAGATGGATCTGTGGGAAAAGAAAATTATCCAATGAATAATCCAATGAATAACTCAATGAATATGGCAACGCCTACATTGATGTCAAATGATGGACAAAATACTTCCAAACATGCGCCATCATCCAACACAAAACAAGAAACTGAGCAAAATGAAGACAACTCTATAACATCAACGACAACAATCGGTACAAAATTCATAATTTATTTGCAGTTTAGTTTTACATAGATAAATAAATAATATTATTACATTTATTTTAGAAGATGACCATCTAACTCGATCGGCAATTTTGGCGCAATTCGCAGGTAAAATTATCTATATCTAAGAATTAAATACTATTCTCACATGTATATAACATATTGCTTAATTTTCAGCATTAGATAGTAAAATGGATTCTTTCTTTGCGGAATTCTTAGCCGATCCTGGAGATGATATGTATGTATTCCATTTTTAACAAATGCATAAAACTATAATATAATACTGAATAATTATAATAATCCTTTCAAATTAGTGATCCCGATTTATTACTTGAACAAGAACAATCATCATGTCAACTAGTAGCCAAAAATGGTAATAATGCATTAAAGAACTTTATCCCATATTGAAAGAACAGGCTATTTCTAAACCAAATACGACTGTTATTAAATTCAATTCAATAACAAACTGAGTAAAAATATGTTTTATAATTGTCATAGGTAGTGGTATTGAAATGTCTAATGAGAACCTCACCACAAGCTTAAAAGATGTGAATGAAAATTCTAACCGGTCACCAGAAAAAAATAATTGCATGGGGGAAAATTTAAAAATTTATCATCAAATAAACTCACCGAAAAGGCGGCCATTGGTTCAAAATCCAAATATTTTTAACTATGAGCTTTCTCCTAACAATCGAAACAATAATTTTTTAACAGTAAATAATAGAACCGATAGACTTTTAGAACAAAAAGTTGGAATGAAGCTTAACGAAATTGTTTATAACAGACCATCTAAGTAAGCAAACTTTTAACATTGTTTCATTATGGAAATGTAGAAACTAATAATTTATTTATAGTGCAATCGTATCTCCAAGCCGCATTCATGTGGAGTCAGAGTTTGGAACCGATCAAAAGAATCTTGACGAGGACAGTATGTATAGGGAAATTAAAAGACGGAAATGGTCATGAAAATTGTGGTGGCATGAATTGATTTTCTCAAAAAAAAAAAAAAAAAATTGATAATTCGTGAAGATCCTTTAGCAAGTCCAAGAATCATTGAATTTTAAAGTCGAAAGCTTTTATCTTCAATCTGTACATGAAATATAATAACCATTCGAGGATAAACCGCCAGAATTCATTTTTAATTCGTTTCTTAGAACTGATGAGAATTTGATGTGATTTTTTTTACGTAGCCTTTAGCGTTAGATGTAGTAATAAAAATTTATTTAAATTTTATTTGTCAATCACTTCATATACGGATATAAGTCTTTAATTTGAATTTTTTTACAGGGGAAGTCCCCAAAATTGAGTTGAGCGGCATTTGGTAATACCAGCCGATTACGTCTACCATAATATTATATTTTACTTAATAAATGGTTATGTTTCATTAGAAAAAAATCAATTTCAGCTCAACCAACCACGGAGTTTAAATGCATATCATTTAATATAATAAATGATTGGGTGGTTATGCTTGAGTAGAGTAATAATGACTTATTACTTATCCCTTAATTAATATTAAGTAGTATTAAGTATTTATTACAATCCATTACATATTA